GATGTTCTGCTCTCTGTTCCTGAGGAGAATGGATTGTCAATGGGTGAATGGGTGAGAAATATTTGTTTGTCCAACGATGGAGGGTAGAAATATGAACAGATGGTGGAAATTGACCTGGTTTTCCACAGACATTAATGTCTGGACGGATGTGATCTATGAATATTCGGAACATTGTCCGGGGTAACCAATATGTTTCCCATGAACTTCCTTTAGGTAGTTATACAGGGTGAATCAATATTCTAAGATATATTGAAAATGTCAACAGAACGTTAAGTTGGGGCTTAAAGTAGGGTAATCAGTTTAGGTTACAGATATGATTCGGAAAAGCTGTTAAACATTGATGCGGAAGCTGTTAAACATTGATGCTGTCGTTTTGTGTGTGGTATAAGTATGACTGTGATGTAAAAATTATGCCCCTTCAGTCTAGTTTTAAAAGTGCCAGTGTTTCAAATATTTAACCCATTCACCCCTAAAGTCACATTTGAACCTCGATCACCAAATCAAAAACTGGGCAAGTCCGGTTTACAAATGTAGGGGTGAAAGAGTTGGGTCAAATCATACGGGTTCAACTGTATACCGCAAAAACCTGTGTATTCTGACATTTCATTATAGCCCATAAGTCATTGATTCAAGAAAAGTGTCAAATTAAAGGAAGGAAAATTCTTAATACTGTAATAACGAGCTATAGTTGTCTAGATAAATACACTACCAACAGTATTGATCACTGGTTGATAATGTAAACTGGAGGATTTTAAGTGCCCAGTAAATGATGACTTGGTCATTTTCTAAACCTTAAGTCTGGTCTGGGGAGATAAGATGGTTTTTATATCAAACAAGAATTACCAATATTTTTGTCACATGACCCAAGGAGCCAAGTGAGTTTATATCATGTCTTGTCACCTATTATCTCCTTTGAAACTCTTCTCATCTTAAACAACAAATCAGTTTTCAACCATACTTTCTTTGAAGCATCTTTGTGACTATAAGGAATCAAGTAAATGGAAGTTCTGGCCCGTTTGGAGGATGATAGGACCCAACAATAGAATTATAGATTAATCTTAAAAGAATTTTTCTTAAAAACAGGTAAAAGGATTTTTACGCCTTCACCCCTGAAATTTTGTGATGAACTATTCCAACCTTGGAATTGGAAGAGTTCAATTGTGTCTTCAGGGGTGAACAAGTTAAACTTATTTAGCATGGAACAACCCGGAGATGGGAATTCAGTGTTGTATAAATGAAGGGTGTGATTACCCTGGATGCAGAGGGACAGGCCAAAACATGGAACTATGATTTACTCTCTGAAGTCTGCTCCTTCAAAACTGATACAGGTATTTTGACCTGATAGGGCATGCCCCAAGGACCCTAAATTGTGCAGAGAGAATTAAATGATGTATATATGAGGATGTGACTTGATATGTCAGCTTAGGGCCTTTAACCCTTTCACCTCTATGTAACTTTAGTAAACTCTACCATGCATTGATATGGATGAGACCATTTTGGTTTACAGTGTTGAAAGGGTTAAAGAGGAAATCTGCTCTATGTTAGCTCTCCGCTTTATCCTGGTTCATATTTAACTTACTTAGCATCGAGCATCTGAGGTTTAAGGGAATCCAACTTGTATAAATGAACAGGGTAGTGCCCCCTGCCCCACAACCAGGTTCCCACCTCACCATCATTTCCCCTGGAAGCAGGGGTGGAGGGAACAGGGCCCAAAAGAGGAAGTAGGGGTTCTTTTTTAATATAAGCCAACTCTTTAAATAGTAAAAGTGTATTGCCACATTAGGTAAGGAGAATCTTGTGGTGTAGAAAACCATAAAAACATCTAAAAAGATATTATTTCCTTTATATCAGTTATGACACAAGCCTTAATTAATGAGGGAGGAAACCTCAGTACCTGGAGAAAACCCAAGTGGTATGTTTGACAGGCAACTCCATACCTTTTTACGTCGCGTTTAGGAATGGAACCGTGGCTGCCTTGTTCAAAGGGTAGTGTATATGTATTGTATATATATTAAACACTGTGTTCCCTGACCAACCAAACATCCAGATTTTCATTAAGCCAATTTTGACCAAACTTTTGAAATCTTTCAAAGATGGCATGGTGCTGTTCCCTGATTCGCTGAGACATTGACAACTTTTTTTCAACTTCAATATGGCCAATGGTAACTAAACTGGATCTGATTAAATCTATCAGACCAAAACAGATGCTGTTACATTTTGGGTTTATTTGAAATCCAAAATGGCTGCCCTGACCTCTGATCAGCTACAAATTATTTTTGACATTCAAACAGAAAAAAATCTACTGAATCAATTTAGCGAAATGTTATACAAATGTTCTTAACATTGGTGTTACAGTATCAAGTGTTGTAAGTTCAAATCTTCTGGGTTAAAGAAGTGAAATACGGACAGAAGAAAGTTTCGATACTTCTTTCGTCTTCAGATACTGTTTGAAATGACAAAAGTTATCTGAAATTTGTGAAAACTGTTCAACTTCCTGTTCAGATCAGATAACAAATAAAAGAGAATCGTGATACAGGCCTGATGGCGACGCCAGTAAAGTAATCGTGTCTGTGCTGATTCTCTTGTGATATTTGAATGACTGGTAGAAGGTTTAAGACTCTATCTGTCCAAAATTTTGTTATAATATTTTCCTTTTTCCTTCATTTACGATAACAAATTATCAATGACATTTATGCAAGATGGCTGACAGAGTGTAAGATACAGTCATCTCCGTTAACGATGACAGGACTTAGTGGTTGTCTGTCTGGAATGGAAATTGAGTGACGTGTGCTTATATATATATATTGCCTACATTAGTCTGATGTCACATGTTTATTGCCTACATTTGCCTTGTGACACCATTATATTGGCTTAATTTGTCTTGTGACATTGGATGTAGACAAACCCTCCGGCTAAAAGATCCATTCCCGAACCATTTACATCACCAGTTGATGTTTGTCATAGGTTATATTTCACAAGAGCCTTGCCTAGGAGGTCATCCAACAAACTTTGTTACCGACATACGAGTCAGAATGAGACTAGGTTCCTTACAAGCATTATAAGTAAGGATGCAGGAAAATCTTGAATTGATCTGCTGTCTCCATATTCAGCGCTCGATCGTGGCCCCTTTCTTTTCATTTACCCCTATGCCTACTGTTTCCTTTCAGTTTTACATTCTTTAACCTATTTTACCCCAGAAGACACATTTGAACTCTTCCAACAAAGGTTGGGATTAGTTCATTATGAAATTTCAGGAGAGAATGCTTAAGGTGGAGCTGTAATATTCCTAGCTGCGAATTCACCTTTTATGTGATACCATAAAAACCCATGTAATTTGCGCACTATTTTTTGAGAAATTTAATGCCCAAAGTTGGGGGTGCGCAAAATATATAGGTGTAAGCAATTTCAAGTTTTTTTCTTGAAAAGATCGACGATTCTGGCAGACCGCCATCTTGGACACGAGATAATCTCCCTTGGTACACGGAACTCAAAGACAAACGATGATCAACACATTTATTCATGTCAAACATCAATAATAGATACAATTGATACATACTGTGTTGTTACCTGAGTTTGTGTGAAAAGTATTATTAAATAGGTAACTGTAACAAAGAAAGTTTAGCCAAATTCCTATGCCAGAGAATCGCCGATCAACTTACGTTTCGACATCTGTTACGAAAATGTAGGTGTTTAATTTTAAGCTCCGTTCCATGTAAGTTCTGTTAGATTTTTTCTTTCAAATTGCATATGCTTACTGTACAGCATATTTTTTCCCCGGCTCACTTTCACATGTTGATCTTGCATCTAACACTACGTAAACACGTGATTGATAATAACCTCGTGAATTATTTCAATATTTATTAAATGAAGCATCGTAAAAATAGTCTGCTTTGAATTTTTCCCCCTTTGAAGTAGATTTGAAGAGGATGTGTTGATTATCCACGCTTCTAGTATAAATATATTTTTATATAATCCCTTATCGGTCAACTCTTTGTTATGACAATGCAGTAGGACTTCGTAATACACGCCACGTGTTGGCGAGTGTGAACAAAAACAACAACACGGTCCTGTCGATCGCGACTGCAAATCATTTCAATTATATTTCAGTAGAGCTACTGTTAACGGGTAATCACAGGTATAGTGTTAGCTAATTACTGCATTGTAATTTGTATTGACTGTGGTGTTGAGAAGTGTCAATAATTTACGCTGGTTTGAAGTGACGATACCCAAGCCGCCATGATGAGCCCTTCTCACTGATCGTAATTATGATCTATAAAAAGGTATCTAATTATGTCTTTGGCCAGATATTGATATGTTTTTGTAAGCAAGTAAATGTTTTGTGTAAAATATTGCTAAAATGAATTGATGTATGCCGATATGCGCATACGAGTGTGATCAGATATTTCAAAGGAAACAAACACCACAATACACATTTTACGCAGTTTCTTCTTAGTTATAACATCATTGTACCTGTGAACAATACTTATGAACTCACTTATAATAAACAAATTACAAAAATCCTAAGAATCTTAAGCGGTTTGTCTTTCATTTTCAGAGATCGATTTTCGGAACTTGAGCATCGTTTAAAAAAATTGGTGTGCAAAATATTTGAGTAGAACCTTTTTTGAGGATTTTCAGCCTCAAAAAGTACCTGCGCAAATTGCATGGGTGCGCAAATTACATGGGTTAATACGGTACTTTGTTTACAACCATAAACTGAGTTATCACCAGCTGTCCTGTATTTAACTCTTTCCGTGCGGGAAACGAGATAACTTGTCCCAGACTTTTTGATTGTACCACTGGAAACGAGATACCTCGTTTTGGGATATCCCTTTGTTGACATCATTGTATTTATAGCTGTCGACCGTGAACAAATCAAATAACTTGTCTGGGGGTTCTGTATAAACGTCATATCATTTCTATGCGTTGTTAGTCAGTTGCAAGGGCGGTAAAAGGTCATATTAAAGGTTATCTTTACTACGAAATACTACGGTGACAAAATGGCCGACGATCAAGAATTTTTGAACGAGTACTTCAGGGATTCGGGTAGTGAAGCAGATTTTGACGGGTTTGAGGCCGGAGACATTGTAGAACTGGAGGAAAATGATTATCCTACATTCGAAATAGTTGATTTGGATAATGACGACGATATTGCGCGAGATCTAGCCACGGGATGGACACGACACAGGATCGAAGACCTCATTCCGCCATTCACCGGCGATTCAGGTTTGAAAGTAAATATTGCTAATGATGCTTTGCCATTGGAATATTTTCAACTCTTCAAGAATGATGATGTGTTTGCAAACATAGCTGTTGAAACGAACAGATATTTTGAACAATGTCGTGCTTATCGCGGCATCAACCTGAAACCATTTGCTAGAATGAATTTGTGGTGCGACACATCCGTGTCGGAACTCAAACAATTTTTCGGCCTGACAATTCTCACCGGACTTATTGAGAGATCGTCCTTGTATGATTACTGGACAACAGATCATTTAACACAGACCCCAGTGTTTGGGAAAACTATGCCCAGGGACAGATTTTTCAATCTTTTGTCATTCATTCATCTTTCCAACAATGAAACTGCACTTCCCCGAGGTGACGAAGCTTATGATCCAGTTTACAAGGTACGTCCAATTTATGATGTCCTTAGTCAAAAGTTTAGAACTGTTTACATTCCAGAAGAAAACATCAGTATTGATGAGGGTATGGTCACATGGAAAGGAAGGCTTTCGTTTCGTCAATATCTGCCAAACAAACCTGATAAGTTTGGCATGAAACTTTACATTTTATGTGAGAGCACATCTGGATACATGTGTGATTTAGACATTTACACAGGTAAAGACTACGACCCAAATCCTGATAGGGAAGAGGAATCATGCCTTGGACACTCATTCAATGTTATGATGGGACTTCTCAGGGGTGCAGACTTGCTAAACAAGGGATATACTTTATTTACAAACAATTACTACTGCAAGTCTACCCTTTTTGACACGTTGCGCGCAGAGGACACACTTGCTGTAGGAACCGTGAGGAAAAACCGGAAAGAAATGCCCGTCGCCCTCACACGTAAACTAAAAAAAGGTCAGGAAATGTGTAGGATGAGAGGCAGTTTACTCACCGTCAAATGGACAGACAAAAGGGACGTTTACATGCTCAGCACGAAACATGAACCAACTATGTCTCTGACCAACAAAGTTGACAGAACAATGGGCGAGCCAATTGTCAAACCTACCGTCATCATAGACTACAACCGCAACATGGGTGGAGTGGACTTGGCTGATCAGCTTGGTAAATATTACACCATTACCCGCAGGACCCTGAAATGGTGGTTGAAGCTATTTTTCCATATGATGAACCTAGCCATAACAAATGCCTATATATTGCACAAGAAGAACTCACGCGCACCCCTCTCCCATTACAAGTTCCGCAGAGAACTTGCAGCCGCACATATCAAGAGCCATGTCTCCAGAAACCTCTGAGAGGTCGACCATCAATCCAACGGGAAAATGAGGCAAGGCTCACTGAAAGGCACTTCCCGGAAAAGATACCGGCAAAAGAAGGTTCAAAGAAGAAGCAGCCAACCAGAAAGTGTGTTGTATGTAATACCAACTCTGGAAAAAGGCACAGAACAGGAGAGGGCCTGGGTTCATCATGGAGGATCGAAACACACTACTGGTGCCCAGATTGTGGAAAAGCGATGTGTGTCCTCAACTGTTTCCGTCGCTATCACACACTTGTCAATTACAAACTCCATAATGACCAAAATGACATCACCGATTCAGAATCAGACTAAAAAAGATTATTGACTTACCTGTAATTAGCAGTTAGAACACCTGGCTAATATATCTACCTGTGTATTTACCTGACTGATTGAACTAATATGAAATCAACTCAACATCAAATGAAAGTATATAAGAATGTCTTTATTTCAAATATGTGAACAAACAATGGAATTATTATCAACATAACACAAACTATGAACTATTATCAATGGACAAGACACTGAACATTTTACCTTGACTACACCTGTCTTACCTGGGCATTTACAAGCTGTGTATGAGCAGGTAATGCCATAGCAATCAAGTATGATATCAGTATAAGAGGTATTTGTCATCAAAAGTCAACATGTACTTCATTTTTAAGAGAAGTCCAGTGAATAAGAAAGAAATTACATTAATTATCAAATATTTACCTGTCTCTTACCTGTACAGGTAACCAGTGGAACTTTTCATAAAAAATCTTCAGTTAATTAGATTGGTCTTGATATAAGGTTCCTAAAACATATGGGTTTTGAATAGGTATGAGCTACAGAAATGCCAATAAAGTAGGTTTTAAAATTGAAATAATTTTAATTAAATATCAAATTAATTCCGTGGGAGCATTGTTTACTATGAAAAGTAATGCAGCATACAACATGGAAATTACTACAATATTATGGAAAAGTATGAACACTTTGCAGCTTTTGTGATTATGTATTTTAAAATTTTCAAAAGAAAAACATATATTTATGAGGTATGTTTATTGAAGGGCCACATGCATGCAGTTGGCCTAGTGGTTAAGGCGTCTGACATTCTGCTACCAGTTAATATAAGCTATTCACCACTGGGCCACAGTAGCCAGTTACTGGTAGCCACAGTTCAGTCGTTATTTTCTCTGGGTACGCCAGATTTCCTCCACCACCAAAAAAACCTGGCACATCCTTAAATGACCATAGCTGTCAATAGGACTTAAAACACAAATAAATCAAGTTTATTTAAAGTTTCAAACAATTGCCTAATATGACAAAGAAAAGTTTGTTTTTAGTTCAATGGGACATATAGAAATAAACAAAATGGTCGTAGAATATGTCTGATTGCAGTCATGTAGCTGTGAACCTGATGTAGTTAATGTGAAATTAACTTTCAATACTTGAATATAAAACAAAAAATCAATATTCTTAAAAAGTCGTTTACTTTGTCATAAATATTTTCACTGATCACTAAAATTAACTAAACATGCACTCTCATGCTAAAAACGAAGCTCCAACTCAAAACCCGATTTGGCAGTCGTTGGTTATAATTACTGAACGGTATAGCAGATGTTTTCCTATATCAGACAACCAAACTTGTATATAATTCTTTAATTAGAGACAATTTATTGTACAATGTCTTAGATGCTATAGGAAGAAGGATTTCTTGTTATTTCTGGTAGTATTAATCTTCAAATTTATTTTCAAAATGTGTTGTTTTGATGCTCCAAACCAGAGTTAATTAAGCATTATGGGTGCTTAATATGGCAAATACTGTACAACTTGCATTGAAGATAATAGAGAAACAGGAGAGCAATCCCGACTCTATCAATGTTTTTTTCAAATCCCTTTGCTGTTGCTCCTGTTTGGGGCCTCTAGATAAAATACCTACACGTCTCTAATAGATAGCCTGTTTGGGGCCTCTAGGTAAAATACCTACATGTCTCTAATAGATAGCCTAATTATAAACTTTCAGAGATGTGAAAGACTGAGAACATAAACCAAACGTTTGTGGCCAAATGTCTGTCTTGTTTACATTAATTACATTAATTATTACTGGCTCATTAGCGGTCAACGGTTTTATGGCCATTTTGACTGAGTAGCCAGCTGTATTGTAGGAAAGCATTGTAAGCTTCACAACAAGCTGTAGTATTTATTTGAGATATTTTCCGACATATTAAAAGTCAATAAAACTGACATTTCTGAAGGTTAAAAACTGATGGTCCACTCACAGACAGAAAAGTAACCGTACTGATTATATATAATATACCGTGGCGTCTGTCGTTCGTTTGTCGTCTGTCGTCCGTCGTCCGTCCGTACAATTCCTTCAAGCGACTTCATCTTCTTAACTACTGATTGGAATTGAGGTTTAACTAAATTTGACTGGAAGCATCCCTAGGTGGTGGGGATTCAAAATTGTACAAATGGTGGGGCTGACCCCCAGAGGGCTGATGGGCGGGCCAAAAGGGGGCGCAATTTGGCTATATTGCTATAAATGACTTCTGTAGAACTATGCAAGGGATATCAATCACATTTGGTCAGAAGCATTCATGGGAGGCGGTGATTCAAAATTGTACAAATGGTGGGGCTGATCCCTAACGGGGCTGAGAGGCAGGGCCAAAAAGGGTTATTTGGCCAAATTGCTTTAAGCAACTTCTTCTCTGGAACTAAGAGATGGATATCAACCATATTTAAGTGGAAGCATCCCTTGGTAGTGGAGATTCGAAATTGTACAAATAGTGGGGCTGACCTCCCAGGGGGTGTAGGGGCGGGGCCAAAAGTAGGCAATATGGCTACATTGTATATTGCTATAAACGACTTCTCCTGTAAAACTATGCACTGGATATCAATCATATTTGGTCGAAGCATTCATGAGAGGTGGGGATTCAAAACTGTGCAAATGGTGGGGCTGACCCCCCGGGCTAAGGGGTGGGGCCAAAACAAAATTTATTACATGGAAATGGTTGAGATCCCCACCCTATTACCATATATACAATTGCTGAGTATGAAGAGAAGAATGCACATATGCTTTCAGGATGGCCCTGGGGTCTGGCCCCACCCTTGGAGACATTAAGTCCCTGGGTCATAACTTTGAAACGGTTGAGATCCCCACACCAGAAGAATAGACCCTGGGGTTTGACCGAACGCCTAGGGACCTAGTTTCTGAGTCACAGCTTGGAAACAGTTGAGATCCCTACCCTATAACCATATATACAATTGCTGAGTATAAAGAGATGAATGCACGCGTACGCTTCCAGGATGGCCCCAGAAATGCAGTCATGATCTTAGAATTGGAGACTTAACCCCTGGGTCATAACTTCAAAAGGGTTAAGATTCCCACCCCAAAACTATATATACAATTGTTGGGTATAAAAAGATGATCGAATACAGTCATGGTATTAGAATTGACCCCAATTTCTGCCCCACCCTTGCAGACTTAACCCCTTGGTCATAACTTTGAAACGGTTGAGATCCCCACTCGAAAACTATATATACAAATGCTGGGCAAAAAGAGATAAATGCAGTCATGATATGTCACAGCTTGGTAACAGTGAGATCCCCACCCCATAACCATACATAAAACTGCTGAGCATAAAAAATCTAATACTGATATGCTACAAGGATTAGCCTTGGGTTCTGCCCTATTCCCTTGGATCTCATTTAGAGAATATTTTGCCATGATTACTTAGATATCCAGGTGAGAGATACATGCCCTCTGGGCCTCTTGTTTACAAATCTGACTGAACATGTCACTAATCCAATTAATGAAACTTGATGTAACTGAAACCTGATAACCAAGTGTTCACAAGACCTTGAGCAAACATTCTAAAGATGTACGTAGATCAAACATCCCAAAGACCTGGATCAGTTTTCTTGGCAACATCTCAGGGTTTGTATTACATCTAAATCTGTATATACCTGAAAGACATAACAGCTGTGAAACACATTTTACCTTTGACCTTTACCAGGTTTCTCAAAGACTAAAATGAATTGTATTTTTGAGTAAGGGGACAATTTTTAGCAAATTACAATAATGAAACACAATTAAATACCAGGTGAATCATGGAAAAAGTCAAACATGTTAACGGCGATTAACTTTTTCGACCATAAAAATATTAGAAAATTTGATCATACAGGGAAGGCCTGTTGGCTTACAATATTTTAATGCCTTTTTTTGAAAAATTAAAAGCTTTGATTGACAAATGAGAAATAGCTGCTGATGAAGTAATTAGTAATGTAATTTTGGTAGTTTTATAGTTTTCATATTAATTTTGAAAGAGAGTTTATCATATGTTTTATACACATTTATGAATAAAGGTGACTGTTTGGTGAGGTATAGATTAAAAAAACATTGAAACTTGTGAATCTTCTATCTCTTTTTTTTTTGCTCTATTCCTTTTAAAGAGTGTCAGATGTTCTGAAGTTCTTATTCTAAAGCATTTATAATGAAAATTGTATTCTGCTGGAAGCAAATTAAAAAAAACGAAATTTTTCCAGATTTCATATTTTGGGATTTGTCTTTATCAAATTTGAAATGTTATTATCTAAATATCATTCAAAATGGGGCCGCAATGACCAAAAACATATTGTCAGGAAAAGACTGAAAATTGCCCTCTTTCATTACTTTGTTCCGTTTAAAATTTACTATAAAGATATATGATTTTTATGTTATTATTCATTTTACAAATTCAAATACTTGAAAAAAAGTGTTTTAAAATAGATATTTAGAATAGCCAATAATTTAAGCGGTCCATCTCCACATAACTGTCCATTGAGATAACAAATGACCTCCCAAATGTTAATGATTCATGTATACTGCTCGGACCAGGCCTGCATTGGTCAATATTGGAATACACACTTCATTTGCGGTGACACTTTCTGCCCGATTACAACGTCCTACTCCATAGTATGGAGTGAGATGTGGACAATTATACCTTATGATTGGTGGAAATTGTCTGTCCATCCAGCGGG